ATTTTTTAAAATCACTTTTTCTTCCCAAATCTACAATACAACTGTAAAATTCCTCTGAATAGTGTTTTTCAGAAAGTCACATCAGGTATCCCTCCAGTCCCAATTTTAACTAGAGACACCCCTACTGGAGGCCTCCATCTTCTTCTAGGGATGCTGCATAACTCCCTTCTAGAACTTTCCTAGCTCCTCTCTTGTGTACTATCTTCTCTTTCCTGATACCCAGGTCTCCTCTTTTTTGTTTTACTCCTTTGTTTGGTTGGATCATATCCTTTCAGTGACTTTTCCTAGAAAGGATTTAAAGATGTACATTATTCTTTGTATCTAACAATATCTTAATTATACTCTCATACTTGATTAATAGTTTGGCCAGCTAAAGAATTGTCAGAATTTTGGAGGCCTCGCTCCATTGTCCTGTGGCTTCCAGTGCTTCTGTAGTGCCCTTCTGATTCCCAATTCTTTGTCAGGAACCAAGATTTCTTTCTTCTTTTTGAAATTTTTATCTCTGTTAGGGGCATTTTCTATCCACTGACTGGGCATTTAGTATGCCCAGTGAATCTAGATAGCCACCCCTCCATTTTGGCTATTTTCTTGAATTACTTCTAAGATTATTTCCTATGTTTGCATGTTCTCTCTAAGTGGTACTCTTATTAGTCAGACTGTTCTCCTTGAATTAATCCCCCCTTTTTTTTCTATCTCTTCTCATCTATTTCTGCCTTTTTGTCTTTTTCTTTCACTATCTAGAAGATTTCATCAGTACTTCTAACGGTTGCAGCTGGAAACAAGGTCTCTGGAGGAATCGTTAGCAGTTCACTATAAGGCAGAGAGGTGTTGGAAGTGAAGTTGGAGAAATAGATAAGGACCTTGAATGTCGTGCTGAGAATCTTGAATTTAATTGTTCAGAAACATCAGATCAGGAGCATCACAGATTTTAGACAGAAGTGTGATTTACATTTTTGAGAAACCAGGCTAGCAGGGAAGACTATCTTTTGAGGGGTACAAGCCTAGAAGTTGGGTAATCAGTTAAGGAAATATGGTAATAAATCAGGTGAGCAACAATCAGGGCTGAAACTAGTCCTTGGTCATAAAGATGGAGAGGAGGAAATAAATTGATGACAGAACTGGCAGGACAGAATATGTTATGGAAGGTGAAAGAAAGGGGGAAACTGAGCATGGTTTCCTGATTTCTAGCTGTCTAGATACGTATGGCAATGTGATCAAACATTTCTGAGAAAACCAGATGGCTGTGTTCAATAGGCAGTTGGATTTTGAAGCTCAAGGGAGAGATGTGAACTGAAAAAATAGATTTGGGAGTCATTAGCATAAAGGAAATATTTAAAATCATGAGATTGGGCAAGTTTCTCCAGGGGAGAGTATAGATGAGGAAAAGCACTGAAGAAAGGATAGAATACTGGGGAACACTCACATCTTAGAGGAAGGCTCAGGGAAAGCCTATGAAGGAGACAGTTAAATAATATCAGAGAACTATAAGGAGGATCTGGAATGTTCAGTGCACAGGAAATTGAATCAAAGAAAGAAGGAATCTGCTTTGTCAAAATGCAGCAGAGATGTTATGATTTCACTGAAAAATGGCAATTAGATTTGCCAATAAGAAGGTCGGGTAAAGAAGAGTAAGAGAGTGGAGTTGGCAACCAGACTGCACATTGGGCTAAGGTATGAACCCGAAGTTAGGAAGTGAAGTCAATTACTATTTATAGTTCATTCTTTCAGGAACCTGAGGTAAAGAAGGTGATGACAGAGCTTAGGTGGCAGGTCTCCCCAACTCAGATGATCTCAAGCAGCTCAATAGAAAAGTCTAGCAATACAACATGTGCACACTTACATTCAGTAGATATTACATAGATCTAATCAAATATCAGAACCAGACCTTTATGTTTTTACTTAGCCTTTCTTCCTCTTGTGTGTCATAATAATCCTTTACCTTGATCACATTTTTTTCCTTAATAATTTCCTTCTAGTCAATTCAGCGTCAGAAAGTGTTCATGTACTGAGAAGTTTCCCACAGAAATTCCATTCTGAGAAATTGGACTCAAGCCATTTCCTGCTTTGGTCATTAAAATAATAATAATAGCTGTTATTTGCAGAGTAAACAGAATTCCATCAAGAAATGCTGTGTACCTTAAATCTAAGTCATGTTATTGTTATGATCACTAGTATTAGAATAACAAGACAGTGGCCTTGTTCATCTCTAAAAAATTTACTGTTGTTTAGCAAAGTTATATGGGAGGCTGTAGTTTCAGAAATCCAAGGTTGAACTATGTACCCTGTGGATGCTCCTTAGTTATTTGATAACTAATCGGTTATTTCATGGCCTTAACATAGGCAAGATGGTGTGAGAGGAGGCAGAGTTGAAGAAGTGAACTCACACAAAGGACCAACTCAAAAGGGTTCTCAGGGAAATGTCAGTAATATTTATACAATATGTATAAAACTGTATTTTACACATTCTAAAATCACTTACAAATCTGATAGGAAAAAATATAATTTTCAAGACAATAAAGTAAGATCCAGCAATCTCACTTCTGGGTATATACCCAGATATCTGTACTTCCACATCCATCCAGCATTATTCGCAATTGCCAAAGCATGGAAACAACCTAAGTGTCTGTCAGCAGATAAATGGATAATAAAGATGTCATATACATATACAATAGACTATTATTCAGCATGAGAAATTTGCTACAACATAGATGGGGCTTGAGGGCACCATGCTAAGTGAAATAAGTCAGACAAGACAAATACTGCATGGTATCACTTATATGTGGAATAATAATAATAATAAAGCAAACTCATAGAAACAGAGAGTAGACAACTGGTTGCCAGGGGCAAGGGGGTTGGGAAAGCAGGGAGAGGTTGATAAAGGGGTACAGACTTTCAGCTATAAGATGAGTAAGTTCTGAGAATCTAGTGTGTAATATGGTGACCATAGTTGATAACACTGTATTGTATCATTGATATTTTCTGAGAGAGTTGGACTTAAATGTTCTCACCAAGGGAGGGGAAAAGGGTAGATATGTAAGATGATAGATGGGTTAACTTGATGGGGAGAATCCTTTCACAATGTATATGTATGTCAAACCAGTTAGATATACACTTTAAATATCTGACAATTTTATTTGTCAGTTATACTTCAATAAGGCTGGGGAAAAAAGACAATAAATTTAAAAAATTGTCTTATATGGTGATTGTTTCTGATTTTAAGTTTGCTAGAAATTTGTTCCGGGCAAGAATTTGAATCTTATGGACTAGAGCCTTCATCCTGGGAATATTGATGTTTTTAAATTCTCCCTAATTACGGGCTATTGCATCAGAGTGAAATCCAGAGCTGATGATGTTCAGATTGCTTCTTTCTGCAATTTTAGGCTTTATTCATTTAGTTTCCCCCTTTTCATACCGTGTCTCTCATTTTTGATAGCTTAATCTTCAGATATTAATACTGTGGCCATATGAAATATATTCATTCATTTTACAAACGTGTGCAAAGATTTCTGGGAGTCACAGGCATGTTTGAGACATAATCCCTGCTTAAGGAGTTAAAAGAGATTACAGTTCAGTGGTAGAAACATAAAGTAGAACTGTCATAAAAGATTACATACTAAATTCCATGGGGTGTCCATCCGTGTGCAGGGACTGGGTTTTATACATCTTTATATCTCTAATGTCAAGCTCAGTCTGGCAGAGTGTAAGTTCCATCCAGTGGAACTGGGTGAAGAGGAAACCAGGAAGACTCATGATAAGGGATTGAGTGAGCTGGGTGTGGCCCTAGAAGGATAAGTAGAACCCGTACACAGTATAGTGAAAAAGTAACTTTCGGGGTAAAGCGAGAGATTGTATTAATATGCACACATTGCATTTTGTAGATACTAAGATCAGAGCTTCCCCGGCCCAGCAGGATGTCAGATGATTGGTGACTTTTTAATTACATGTCAATTCACTTGGCAGTGATGGACAGAGCATAGGGTTTGAGTCTCACCCCTACCATACCAAGTGATTTTTAATAACGTATATAAATTCTATGCCTATTCTTCTCAGCTAGAAAATAGGAGTATAATATCTATTTGAGGCCTACCATATCCTAGAGTTATGTCAATAAGTGATGGCTTTTTAAGAAAAAACAAAAGCAGAAACAAACAGGAAAAGATTTACCAAAAAACTAAATAGAAATATTTTAACTTTTAATGTAATGTGTAAAATGTTGGAACGTTTTCCAGTTTCACCTTGAAAATTTATCCTTAAAAAAAAAAAAAAAAAAGCTGATGGACCCGTCGCACAGCTGGGATCAGAGGACCTGGCTCTCTCACTGCCCAGCTCCCATTCCTAGAGCTCACATTGCCTCACCTCTCTGGGCCTGTTTCCTCCTATAAAATAAACAGTAATCTCCCCCTCTGTCCACACAGTAGCCACTGGCCACATCTGACTATGAAATGTGGCTAGTTCGTAAAAAATACACATCAGATTTCAAAGCTAAAAATAAAAAATGTAAAATATTTTAAGAATCATCTACTATTGAGTATATTTTGAAATATTTTGCACATAATGGTTTCAATAAAATCTATTATTAAAATTAACTTCACCTGGTTTTTTTTGCTCTTTTGATGTGACTACCAGAAAATCTAGATTAGATATGCAGCCCTGACCTAGATGATCACGAATATCCTTTTCAGCCTTAGGACTCAGCCAGGGCCGCTGTGGACACGTAATTTCACAGTTTGATTTCCTCGCACTGAGATACGGAAGGATTGGCTGGGAGTGAGCAGGCTGGGGCGGGGCCCTGCCGGAAGACACAGACCCCTCCAGCTTTCGCTCCGGCTCGGCTCTTGGAGCGGGAAGGACCCCGACTCCCACGCGGAGGTGGGGGTAGACAGCCCACTCCAGTCTCCGGGCCCCGGGCGTTAAAGGGGCCGGGGCGGGCGCGGCGCGCCGGGAGGGGCCGAGCCGGGAAGCGGGTTGGTGCGTCAGCCTCACGCGTGGGGAAGGAAGCGGGCCTCAGGCCCCGGACTGCCACCGCTGGGTCCCCGGCACGTCCGCAGGCTGCACCGGAAGGTGGCGGCTTCTGAGAGGCTGGAGAGCCGAGGGCGGGCCTGGGAGGCGGCCGGGAGGTGGGGCGCGGCCGGGGGCAGGCCCGCGCGGGCTTCATCTGCGGACTCACGGCCTGCTCCCGATCGCTGGGGATTCCGAGGCGCGGCGCGAAGACTGGCCGGAGCGGCTATGGACTACCGCTGGGGCTTCCTGATCGGCTTCCTGGGCGCCGTGGGGCTGCTGGGCTCGGGCCACGGCGGGCAGCAGTCCCCGGAGACGGCGGCGCAGAGGTGCTTCTGCCAGGTGAGGGTTGTGCGTGGGGGCGCTGCGGGTCCCGGGACCCCTGCCTCCGCCGTGCGCTCTGTCCTGCGCGCCCGGGCAGGTGGGGCGCTGGGGGTGCGTCTCTGCATCTCCACCTTTCCGGAAGGAACCCCCTGTGCTTCTGCTCCCTGGCAGGGGCTGAATCCTCTGCAGCTCGCCTGGGTTGGTGTGGACCGGTTTCCCCACCCCCACCCCAAACAGCCTGAACGGACGTCGGATTGCCCTCCCGCGCTTCCGATCAGGCGTGGGACGAGAGGTGTGGGTGCACCGCTGTTTCTAGTTGGTTTGTACATCTTTTTTAGTCTTTCCTGCCTGGGGAAGGTGCGCGCGCGGGCGCGCATACACACACACACAGTCACACTTAGGATTTTTATTTTCGCAGAACCTGGGTCTTCCTGACTTCTAATTTGACTTGGAACAGTGTGGGCTGTGCCTGTGCTGGATGTCTTCTCCAGCCTTTCTGGCCAGGACAGGCTTTTGCAGGGGGGCTGCCCTCAGATCTCACTGTTAGGCAGGAGAATGCCTTCATGTGGCTTTTCTGTGTCTAAGCCTAACTGCCTGGTGTCTTGGGGGCCGCGGTTGCCCTGTGACTACTCGCCCTATGTGTCCTTTGTTTTTCCTGAAGGTAGTGAGACTCTTTTACCGTGACATCCATATTGTTGGTCTGAACTGGGAGAACGGTCCTCAGTGCACAAGTTTAATTACAAGCTAATTATGGTTATTTCCTTTTGTTAGTAAGAGATGTGGGTTCCTTGAGAAAAAAATTCAAAGAAAGTTACAGGTTTTTGGTGCCCACAATATCTGATATTTTAATATCATTATTCTTAAAGTCACCTTTTGGTTGGCTTCTGTTGATAAATACATTTTATACAAAATTGAGATATATGGGTATCCAAATTGTTCCTTTTAAGTAGATGTTACTATTAACTTATCAGAAATAACTTTTTATGTGTGGGGGGGGTAATACTATTTCACAGAGGAAAGAAGAATTAAAATTTTATGAGAAGAGGTGTCATCTCTTTCACTGCTTTAAATTCTTGGATTTTATTTTTTGCTGAGTGATTTGGAAGTTGGGGTGAGTGATAGCTGGGAAGGTGTAAGAGAAGTTGAAAGAAAATTGCTGCTTTATAACTAAGAGATTGAAAAACTCCTTTACCTTCAGTGATTATAAACAGTACACAATCAAGTACTTAAAAGGAAAAAGGGTAATTTTTCTTCTGCTTACAAATATAACATATCACAAAGTTTAAATATTTAAAAATAAGTAAATTAGAAATAAGTAGACTTAAAAATAAGGTATTCAGGACTTCCCTGGTGGTGCAGTGGTTGAGAGTCCGCCTGCCTATGCAGGGGACACGGGTTCGTTTCCCGGTCCGGGAGGATCCCACGTGCTGCGGAGGGGTTAGGCCCGTGAGCCGTGGCCGCTGAGCCTGCGCGTCCGGAGCCTGTGCTTTGCGACGGGAGAGGCCACAACAGTGAGAGACCCGCGTACCGCAAAAAAAAATAAATAAATAAAATAAATAAATAAATAAAAATAAGGTGTTCAGTGCAGAAAGATTCCATTGTAACGTTTTCAACTACATTCTAGAGATTTGGATAATGGAATAAAAGTACATGTTGAACTTTTAAACGTTCACTCCCCTCCCCCATAACCATTTTAGATATTTGATTAAAATTGGGAAGCTTTTAATATTCATTTACTTTTTCTTCTGATTAGTGTTAGGCTTTTTTACTTTTTCACAATATTTTCAAGATTAAAATACATAAAAATCTGTTAGACCTCTTTGTTTTTCTTTTAGAACAAGAGTGACTGTTTTTCTTTCCAGAGCCAAATTAAAAAGTAATAAAATGAGTAAAAAATAAATTTAAGGGAAATTTAAAATGGTTTAGTTAAATAAACTTAAAAACAGAGACCATCAATTCCAATTCAATAAATGAAACAAGTGTACCTTAGTTCTATTATGTTCAGTAATGGAAGGGTTGGGGGAAAGGGGAGGAAAGGAGGGAGGGGACTGTGACGAATAGATATGTAGAGAAAGATGGAGACAAACATATTGACATGCATACCGAAACAGAGGGAGAGACAGATAAAAGAAAAAAATGGAGAAAGAAAAGATAAGGGGAGGAGCAAATTATTCATTCAAAAAACATTTATAAACACTATGTACATTGATCTGAGAGTTTGGAATACAGAAATAACTATGGCATAATCCCTGCTCTGAAGAGCTTACAGTTCAGCACATCATGTTCTTTGGGGCTTGGGAAGAGGTAGGGATCCTAGGTATTTTAAAAAATTTTTTAAAGTTAGTAAATATTGCTAGAAACTAAATTTAAAACTAAATTTTCACCTGAGATTTGGAAATACAAGTTCAAATCTTGTCTGGTTCTATTTGCAGTTTCCAACTGGCCACACAGTCCTGTTGACTCTTTTTTTGTTTATAGTCATATCCCTTTCTTCCTTCCTGTTGCCTGTGCCTCTTACCACTTCTGCCTTGAGTTACCACACCATCACCCCTCACCACACTGTTGCATGGGTGCCTGACTTGTTTGTAGGGGTTCTGATTTGAGCCAGAGCAGCATGTAGTTAGTTATTCAACCTTAGAAAGTCATTGAAGTAAAATGTACAAAGCTCTACAAATAATCAGACTAAATTCAATACGCATTTATTGAGGCCTACTATGAACAAGTGTTGAGAGATCAAAAAATAAAAAGTTACAATTTAATCCCAATTCCTGACACTCCAGAGTACGGAGACTGGTAAATAATTGGTGCTCAGCAAGTGTTAGGGAAATTATAATACAAGATGTGAACACTACAGGAGCTGAAGTATATTCTTAATTGAAGATGGGTTGACAGCTTCCAATGAATATTTAAACTTAGTCAGTTACTGCAGCGGTCCCCAACCTTTTTGGACCCAGTGACTGGTTTCGTGGAAGACAGTTTTTCCACGGACCGGGGCCGGGGTTGTGGGGTGGGAGGATGGTCAGGCAGTAATGCGAGCGATGGAGGGCAGCAGATGAAGCTTCGCTGGCTCGCCCTCCTCTCACCTCCTGCTGTGTGGCCCGGTTCCTAACAGGCAACGGACCGGTAGAGGTCCTCGGACCCAGGGGTTGGGGACCCCTGAGTTATTGCGTATGCCTGTTAGTTGACATCACATCCTGTTAAAAGCATTTTCACTGTATGTTGTAAGTTCTTTTGAGAACAGTGCTTCAGCTTAGTTGCTCAAAATAAGTGATCAATTGTCTGGAACTTATAAATCTTCCTTAAATACATTCTCTTTCCCCCAATCCCTGTATCATTCTGTTAAAAAATGTTAAAAAAAATTTTTTTTACACAGAAAATTGGCTATTTTCCCCCTGTTGGTATACAAGTTTGTGAAATCTAACACATGTACAGTTTTGTGTAAAAACCCCATAAATCAGGACTCACCCTTTCTTTAAATCAAAATAGTATTGTAGTAGGTATGGGCTTGAAGTAAATGAATATTTTTCAGAGTTTATTCCTTTGTGACAATTATTTCCTCGTTATGCACCATTAGATAGAACGAATGTAACAGAACTTTAGTCCCAATTCATGGACTCCCAGGATGCATTTTAAAGAAATCACCTCAGAAGAGATATTGAAGCCCAGATACGGAGGCAGTATGGATATCTTTTTCATCTTTTTAAAATTAATTAGAGATGAGTTTGTAAACTTCTATACTCAGAATGTTTTATCTCTCTTAATATAGCTAATGCTGGTAACCCTCAGATCCACTGGCTTGAATGCAGTAAATCTCCATCAGGTTAATGAAAGGGGAGTAGTTCAGATAATCCATAATAGCTCCTTCAAAGGTGGATTATTTTTCCTTTGGAGTACATTGTAGATACACTCTGTATTCATGTATTTTAGCAGACTTACTTGTCTGGGTGTCTTGTTTAGGTCAATTTAAAAAAAAGAGTTTTTGTTAGTCAGAGTGGCTGGGCCATGGAAGAGACACTTGAGAATATGCTAAGTGGTGGGTGGAAATAAATCCAGGATTAATACTTAGTCAGAGGGATTTTGAAACAGGTTATACTGGAGAGGTGTCCATTGACTGTGAATGCTTCCAACATTCCAGGCTTTTCTGAACAAAGCAAGTGGACCAACGTGTATTTAACGTTGGTTGCCATACTTTGGGTCATTTAGCAACAATTTAAAGTTCTAGCAAGACCAAGACTTTAAAGAAGAAATAGCTCATAGCATTCCATGTTCTTAGAATGGTGCCTACTAGCCAGGATAGAATCTATTGGTGTTTCTGTTCTTTCTTTTAACAGTTGTCCCAGTCTGCTCTGTCAGTGAATGAATGTTTTTCATGTTCTTTTTTTTTTTTCTAATGGTCATAAAACTCAATAAAATTTAGCACAACTGCAGTTCTTTGCCAAATAAAGCGCATTTTGAGCACTTTTGAAAGGTATTTCATACAAATATGAGGAATATATTCTTACAGTGCTTTGGAAAAAAAATCTGTGGTAGGACTGGAAGTTGTTGGGACACAGGAAGACTAGAAAGTGTTTTTTGTTTTGTCTTTCATTGCAAAGTAAAGGATACCTCTATCCAAAAACTAGAGAACAAGCAGGCCAGTGTATTTTCTTTTCCCTTGCCTTTTGTATTTTGGTATTTGGTCCAAACCAATCAGAGTCAATGGAGAAATAATGGAGCTAACATTTGGTTTTCTAGTTGTGTGTTGCACTGGAGCTTCAGATGTAAAGTTTTTGGAGAATTTTAACTGCAAACCTGGCCTTTTGCTTTGGGGAATAGCAAGATCCCTGTCACTGGAAGCATTTAAGCAGTGGTAGGGTAATAGTAATGATCAACATTTACTGGGCATTTACTGTGGGTCATTTTATCTTGATATCAACTCTTTGAGATGGGAACTACTGTTACTTCTATTTTTGTACTCAGATAGGAAATTGAGGCCTAGAGAAGTTAAAAAGCGGGGGCAATGTCAACAGCTAATAAGTAGCAGAGATGGGATGCAACCCTAGAAGGCCTGACTCCAGAGCCTGCCTGCTATCCACTGTTATACACTACCTCCCCTTGAGGGTGTGTGAGGGAGGGGATTGCTGGGTTGCTCTGAAGATAGCAAGAGAAGGCCTTCAAAGGCTTTCCAGCTCTTAAGAGACCAGGACTTTAAACTGGGTGATATTGTGTGTCAGGCCTACCTTGGTCCTTATATCTACCACCCTCAACAAGGGCCTATCCATTGCTTCCTATTAGCCTGGCCCTCCACAAAACCAAAGCTGATTATCACCTGAAGCCTAGAGCAGCAAGCTTCAAATTTTAGCATTCATCAAGCACTTTGTGTGTATGTTGCAGAGGCGGGGAGGGGGGTGCATTTTTAAAAGACTTGGATTCCTATGGTAGGGCCAGAGTTCTATTTCACTTTGGGAGATAGTGTAGTGGTTACTTATGCAGCCATAGCACATTTTGAAGTACAGCATCAAGCCATTCTTCTTATAAATCAGCACCTGTCTTTTGGTCTTAGTTTAGGTAATAGGACTTTGCTTTGTTTCCAGGGTTCTGCCCTGGGTCCATCAACTGGAGTTCTGCCTTAGACTTTTCCTGAGACTCTATTCTGGTAACATGCCTGGTTCTCTACTTTCTAGAACTGGGCCTGGTATCATACCTGCCAGCCTTCCTTCCAGGGATCAGGTTCTGCTGCCTTTTGGCAAGCTTATCTGAACAGTCAGATGGCTTGGATTTCCAAGTATCCTCCTGCCTCTCCTTTGCTGGACTCTTTCCATCCAGTGAAACTCCTTTCACCCTGTGCTGTACCTCCTTAGCTGCCCTGTGACCTCTCATTGAGGTTGGTAATACCTCCTACTCAATTTCTAAGGTAAGGGGCAGAAGATTTTTTTTTTTTTTTTTTGCTGTACACGGGCCTCTCAGTGTTGTGGCCTCTCCCGTTGCGGAGCACAGGCTCCGGATGCGCAGGCTCAACGGCCATGGCTCACGGGCCCAGCCGCTCCGTGGCATGTGGGATCTTCCCAGACCGGGGCACGAACCCGTGTCCCCTGCATCGGCAGGCGGACTCTCAACCACTGCGCCACCAGGGAAGCCCGGGGCAGATGATTTTTAAATCTACCATTGTCCTGCCTTCTCTTCCTCTGTGGCCTCTAGGTTATAAGCCACCTCTGCTCTGGAGGCATCTTGCGTTTCTTTCTGATGTGGGGCTTCTTATCATTCCCTTTGTAATTAGGATATAGATCAGTAGAATATTGGACACAAAGGGTTGTTTGCCTTTGCTGCTTGCTTTCCTTGCTCTGTGAGTGCA